GCGTGTGGCCCGGGTTCGATCCTCAGCACCACATACAAACAAAGATGTTGTGTCCACTGAAAACTAAAAAAAATAAAATATTAAAATTCTCTCTCTCTCTCTAAAAAAAAAAAAGAGAGAGAGAGTCTAACTATTCATCAAGAACTCTAAGAATAGTAGGTCAACTTCTTCAAAGCATTAAGGTCCTAAAAATTTTAAAAAAAACTATTTCTATGATATCTTTCTCAAAATTAAAGCTTTAAAATTTCTTGGCTGCTCAGCAAATGCTTCCAGCATCAAGGCAATCCTATCTGGAGCGATTCTCTATAATAAGGTGCTGCAACCAATACAGTAAACAAAAACGGTAGAATCATCTTGCTGTGGTTTAATGATAGTGCTTGCTATGGTCTGAAGTTTTGTGTGTCCCCAAAATTTCATGTTGAAATCTAACCCAAACAGTGATGGTATTAAAAAGTGGGGCTTTTTGGGATTGATTAGGTATGAGGGCTCTGACCTTATAAATGGCACTTGGGCCCTTGTAAAAGAAGCTTGAGGCAGCCAATTTGTCCCTTGTACCACTTGAGGACAACAATAGAAGGCACTATTTATGAAGCAAAGAGAAGACTTCACCGGACATCAAATGTGCTGATGTCTTGATCTTAGATTTCCTAACCTCCAGAACTGTGATAAGTAAATTTCTGCTTTTAAAATAAACTACCTAGTCCAAGATGTTTTGCTACAATAAACCAAATATACTAAGACAGGGACCATGGCATTCCTAGGAAACAAGGACACTCACAAAAAGTCACATTTTTTACATTTTTGTTTTGTTTTGTTGTGTTGTGTTTTGAGATAGGGATTCACTATGTAGTCCAAACTGACCTTGAACTTCTGGCTCAAGTTATCCTCCCACCTGTTTCCCAAATTGCTGGGACTTTTAAAAGCACAAACAATTGGGCCCACATCATAAAAAGTTTTTATTTCTCAAAAGCAGACATGTATTACTCCAGGAGAACTGAAGACTGAGTAGGGGACAAAATTGTGAAAGCAACTCAGATGAACCTTGAAAACATTACACTATGTGAAAGATGCCAGAAATAAAGTCCACAAAAAGAATGATTCCATTAATATCCAGAATAGGGAAATCCACAGAAACACAAAGAGATTAGTGGTTGCTTCAGGGTGAAGGGTGGGAACGGGAAGAATCAGGGGATTGGTGATGACAAGTAAAGGGTTACCATAGGGGCTGGGGCTGTAGCTCAGTGCCAAAGTGCTTGCCTCGCATGTGTGAGGCACCGGGTTCGATCCTCATACCACATAAACATAAATAAAGATACTATATGTTCATCTACAACTAAATAAATCTTAAAAAAAAAAACGGTTAACATAGTTTGAAGATGTCCTCCAAAGCTCACATGTTTTGGTCCCCAATACAGCAATGCTGACAAGAAGGATCTTTAGAAATGAAGGGGTTGGGCTGGGGATGTGGCTCAAGCGGTAGCACGTTTGCCTGGCAAGTGCAGGGCGCTAGGTTCGATCCTCAGCACCACATGAAAATAAAAAAAATAAAGATTTTGTGTCCACCGAAAACTAAAAAATAAATATTAAAAAAAATTCTCTCTCTCTCTCTCTCTCTCTCTCTCAAAAAAAAGAAAAAGAAATGATAGGGTCATGAGGGCTCTGACCTCATGAGGGTCTTACTGAAATAATGGTCATTGCAGGAGTGGCTTTGTTACAAAAACAAGGTCTGACTTGCTTTGTCTCTCCATGCCATGATGCAGCAAGAAGCCTTCCCCAGATTCTAGCACCATGCTCCTACACTTCCCAGCCCACAGAACCATGAACCAAACCAGCCTTTATCTTGTATGAACGACCCAGTCTGTGCATTCAGTTACAGCCATAGAAAATGAAGTAACATAGGGTACAGGGCTTATTTTTTATGATATGGTGAAAACATTCCAAAATTGACTGATGGCTGGAAAAGTAAGTGGGGATAGAGTGCTTGCTTCGTATGTGCAAAGCCCAGGATTCCATTCCTAGCACTACAGAAAAGAAGAGAAAATGACAACAGTCATGGTTGCACAATCCTATGAGTACACTAAAAGCATTGTACATGTTGAAATGGGTAAATTTTATGGAATATGAATTATATGCCAATAAAGCTATTCAAAAATCCTTAAGGAGCTTCCCCTTACACCTACAATAAAAGTCACCACCATGCCCTATGAGATCCTGTATGATTTGTTCCCTGACATCTTCTCTATGCTTTCTCCAACTCTCTCCACATTCCAGCCACACAGGCTGCGTTCCAGGTCGGAGTAAGCCCAGCACTTTTCTACCAGGTTCTCATGCCTGATCCCTTAGCCTCGAAGGCTTTTTCCCCAATCTGCATGGCTCCTTGCACATCACCTCTCTTCAGAGAACCTTTGCCACTGTATCTAAAGGAGCTGCTCCTTATCACCTCTTTGGGCCCCCACCATCACATCATCCTGAAATTATTTTAGGTACTTTCTGTGTCCTCCTGGAGAAAGTAGCTTCATAAGGGCAGTGACCTTTTCCACAGTATATGCCTAACACCTAGGACTGTGCTTGGCAGCAAGCAGGTACACATTAAGCATTGATGAATGAATAGACAGAGGTCACTGACAAGGGTACCCCAAACTAGGTGGTTCATGAATTTTTTTAAACAAGAGAAGGAATGCACAATGTACAAATGAGAACATTCTCCATAGGATAAATGACTGGACCAAGGACAACTGAACAGGCCTATGTCTTTGAAATGTCAACTACATGAAATGTAAGGTAAGGTAGAAAACAAAAGGTGGCAGCATAATGTGGTCCTAAGGGCTGTCTTTCAACAACAGACATGACATTTCGTGGCGCTAAGAGTTCCAGACACACTGGCTGATGGGTACCTAAGACTCAGATTAGATGGTCTGGCACATGACTCAGAAGGGGGTATTAGTATTGAAAAGTCCCTATTAGGGGCTGGGGTGTAACTCAGTGATACAGCACCTGCCTAGCATGCACAGGCTTGGGTTCAATATCTAGCACCATATAAAAAGGCCCCATTAAAAAATAATAAGTTTATTAATTTGGAGTCTGTTTATACTTATCATTTCTTGTCCTGTTACTTTTAGAAATGTTTAATGATTTCATTAAAATCAACATTATCAATAAATTATTTATTTTCCTGGGAATCAAAGAGGCCACTCACATGCATAAGACTGTGTGCATGCTCAGGAAACACCTAAGAACACTCTAACCTCTTACCTCACATCACATGCAAACATTAACTTCTAAGAGATATATAGTTTTTTAGGTTTATCATCCTTCAGAGTTGATTTTTGTGTGTGGTATAAGGTAAAGGTCCAACTTCATTCTTTTGCATATGGATAGCCAGTTGTCCCAGCGCCATTTGATGGAGATTGTTCTTTGCCCTTTGAATGATCTTGGCATTTGTGTAAAAACAAATTAACTGGCCATAGATGTCAGGGTTTATTTCTAGACTCTCAATTCTAGTCCACAGATCTCTAAATCTGTCTTTTTACCCATACCACAATACTTTGAATATTGTACATTTTGCATTAAGTTTTGAAGATTTTGAGTCACCTGAATTTCCATATGAATTTTTGAATCAGCTTTTTCATTTCTGCAAAATGTCCAGCTGGAATCTTGGCAGGAACTGTGTTGAGTCTATCAGTTGATTTAGGCAGGTATGTGTGTTCTTTGGGTATGCTTGCCCAATCACAGTCACTCACTCCAACCAAGCCAGTCAAAGAACAACAATGGCTAACACTTGTCATTCACCTTGTTCCAAGTACTGTGCTGAATGCTTCACGTGATCATCTCATCTAATCCTTACAATTATCCCAGGAGGCAGGGATTATTATTATTATTATTATTATTATTATTATTATTATTATTATTAGATGAGGAAACTGAGATGCAGAGAAATCACTTGACTTATACAAGGTGACAGTCAATTAATGGCAGAGGCTGGGTTCAGACCTAGGAAGGGTCTCACTCCAGAGCCCCCAACTTTCTCAACACAGAATATACAAAGAAATCCTCTAAACTCATTTTGAAAAGATGAGTAGCCAGCAGAAAGATGGGGAAAGGATGTGAACAGACAGTTCATCAAAGAGGAAAATGCAACTGGCCAATAAATATGTAATATGATGCTCTATCGTACTATAATCAGGGGATTGCATAATAAACAATGAGATATTGTTTTGTCTATCATATTTGGAAAATATTGATAAGAAAAATCTAGTGTTGTTGTAGCAGGTCTGAGAAAATAGGTCTTATTGCAACAATATCAGTGGCAATACATAATAGCACACCCACTTTGGAATACAATTTGACAAAATTTACTAAGATGTAAAATACACACACACTTTGCCCTAGCAGTTTCATTACACATAGGTACAAAGGACATAGACAAGAATGTTCACTGTAGCCCTATTTGTAATTGTGTAAAAAGGGGGAAAAAACTACATATCTGCCAGTGAATAAATGTCATTATTGGCCATGGCCAAATCCATACTACTGGAACGCTAGTTCTAAGAGGCACCAGTCTGTGCTCTATCTCCCCAGTGCCTAAAACAAGAACTGTCACAGAGGTGGCACTCAGATGTTTGCTGAATGCATACTGTAACATACGAAGCAGCAGTCAAAAACAAAATATATATGTACATATGAAAAAGCCCTGCACATGTAATGAAAACAAAAAAATACCAACTAATCTTTAGAAAAATGTTTATAGAATAAATTGACAGAACAGCACAAAAAAACTAACATACTCCACAGCCTACTGTAGTTCCCTCTTGGGGACATTCTTAGATTTTCTCAACAAAGGACTTTACGTATTTTAAAAATAATATAATTTCTAGTCATGCTTAACCTGATTAAGTGTAATATAGACTACCTATTGTTATTCTTGAGGGTATATATATTCTGAGTGGGTAGTCCCTATTAATCACTACTGTTTGGTTTTAATAGTTTGATTTACTACTCACGCTTTACTGAGGAAGTTTCTTTCAGTGCATCCTCCAGATTAAAATCATCAGAGTCCCCAGATCCTAAAAAGGAAAAGAGAATTTAAAAATTTAACTATCTTTGCATGAAACAAAATAATACTGAAATATTTTCTTGATATAGTAATTTCTCTTTAGAAAATAAAGGGATAAGAAAGGTAAGTCTCTACAAATGAAAACCAATAGTGAGAATAATATGCTTATATTAAACAAAATAGACTTTAAGTCTAATACTATAAAAACAGACAAAGAACAATGCTAATTAACCAAGGAGTTACAATGACTCTAATATATATGCAACCAACATTAGAACATCTCAATTTTTATGGGAAATATTAATAGATATGAAGAGGCTGTAATACAAAAATAGGAGACCCCACTTTTGACATTGGACAGATGAAGTAAACAGAAAATCAATAGGGAAACATTGGATTGAAACTACATATTAGATCAAATAGATCCAACAATATTATAGAACATTCCATCCAATAGCAAAAAAAAAAAAAAAAAATACACATTCTTCTCAAATGCACACAGAATTTTCTCCAGGACAGATCACACATTAGGATACTAAACAAGTTCAAACACATCCAAGAAGACTGAAATCATATCAAGTATCTCTTCTGACCACAAGTGAATGAAACTACAAATCAATAATGGTAGCAATCTTGGAGAACTCACAAATAGACAAAAATTAAACAATATGCTCCTAACTAATCAATAGGTCAAATAAGAAATCAAAAGGAAAATTAAAATGTATCTTGAGACAAAGAAAAGAGGAAACACAGCCCATCAAAACTTATGGGGTGAAGAAAAACCAGTGCAGTTAAGCAAGAAAAAGAAATAAAAGGCATTCATATACGAAATGAAGAACAGATAAATTCAGTAGGATTATCGGTTACAAAATAAACACAAAAATATCAGTCACATTTCTATATACTCCAAATAAGTTTTTGTTTGTTTGGGGGTGGCGGTTGTACTGGAGATTGAACCCAGAGGTACTTTACCAGTGAGTCACACCCCTGACCTTTTTTTTTTTTTTTGAGGTGGGGGTTACTGGAGATTGAACTCAGGGGCACTCAACCACTGAGCCACATCCCCAGCCCTATTTTGTATTTTATTTAGAGACAGATCTCACTGAGTTGCTTAGCACCTTGCTTTTATATAGGCTGGCTTTGAACTTATGATACTCCTGCCTCAGCCTCCTGAGCTGCTTGTATTACAGGCATGTGCTAGCGCACCTGGCATCCTGGCCTTTTTAATTTTTAGACAGGGTCCTACTACATTGGTTGTGGCCTCACTGATTTGCTGGGACTGGCCTCAAATTCTAAATCCTCCTGCCTCAGCCTCCCAAGTCAATGGGATTATAAGCATGTGCCACTGCACCTGGCCTAAGTAAGTTTTAAAAAATAGAAAACAATCCTAGTTAACTATCATTAAAAACACTTAAGATGATGGGCATGGTGGCACAAGTCTGTAATTCCAGCTATATGGGAGACTAATGACAGTGAATTGCAAGTTTGAAGTCAACCTGGGCAACTTAGTGAGAACTTATTTTAAAATAAAATTTAAAATAGTACTAGGAAGTTCTGTATATGTAGCTTGCTTGGTATATGTGAGGTCCTGGGATATAGCTCAATAGTACATTACTTGCCTAAGTAAGTAAGGCCCTGAGTTCAATTTCAGTACAAAAAAAACTCTTAGGAATAAATTTAACCAAGGAAGTGAAAGATCTATACAATAAAATCTGAAAAAAAAAATGGAATAAATTGAAGGACACATAAATAATTGGAAAGATATTCCATGTTCATGGATAGAACACTTAATATTGGTAAAGTGTTCATACTACTCAAACATTCTACAGAGTGAATGACATTCCTATCAAAATTCCAATGTCATTTTTCACAAAAACAAGCAAACAAACAAACAAACAAAAAAACAATCCTGAAATTCGTKTGAAATCACAAAAGACCCTAAATTGCCAAAGTAATCTTGAGGAAAAAGAACAAATATGGAGGCATTATACTCACTGATTTCAAAATACAGCATCCCTACCTAAAAATCTGAAATCCAAAATGCTCTAAAATTGTAAGAGTACACTCCTCCAACAAATATTTTGCTTGCAGTCCCAGCCATTCCTTTACTGTTTGTCAATATATCCTGCCACATGCCATTAGCTAAAGAGTTAAGAGCAAATAACACAATTTTGTAGTATTATTAATCCTTCAATGACCTTGGATTCAACAGATACTAACCATTTATGGATAAAACCATTCAATCTCAAACTACATTCTGAGCTATGAAGACTTCTTCAAAGCTTTCAAACAGGGGCTGAGATTGTGGCTCAGCAGCACAGCACTTGCCTAGCACGTGCAAGGCAAAGGTATTGTGTCCACATCAATGTTTATAGCAGCACAATTCACAATAGCTAAACTGTGGACCCAACCTAGATGCCCTTCTGTGGATGAATGGATAAAAACAAAAACAATAGAATTTTCATTAAGAGAGAATAAAATCATCACATTTTCAGGTAAATGGATGGAGTTAGAGGAGATAATGCTATGTGAAGTTAGCCAATCCCAAAAAAAACAAATGCTGAATGTTTTCTCTGATATAAGGAGGCTGATTCATAGTGGGGTAGGGAGGGGGAGCATGGGAGGAATAGACGAACTCTAGACAGGGAGAGGGGTGGAAGGGAAAGGGAGGGGGCAGGGGATTAACAAGGGTGGTAGAATGTGATGGACATCATTATCCACAGTACATGTATGAAGGCTCGAATTATATGTCAACATACTTTATATACAACAGATATATGAAAAATTTTGCTGTATATGTGTAATAAGAATTGTAATGCATTCTGCTGTCATTTATTTTTTAAAAATCAATAAAAAGGTATTGTGTCCAACTATAACTAAAAAGTAAATATTTTTTTTAAAAAAAGCTTTCAACCAGGGCCAGGGGTGTAGCTCAGTGGTACAGTGTTTGCCTGGCATGTATTAGGCCCTGAGTTCCATCCCTAACCCTGCAAAAAGGAAAATAATCTTACAACCAATAACAGCTGCTAAATCCAAGACAAGAACAAATACTCTTATAAAGATATTATATCTCAATTTTTTTTCAAATAAGTTCATATTCTATAGCCCTTTTGTGCCACCCAAAAGTACTCAGCTTGGGATGGAGACAAGAATCCCAGAAGTTCTCTCTTTGGCACCAACATACTTTAAAAAGCAACTGATCCATCCCAGGCTGTTCAAAACCTCCAATCCCTGTATAAGTAGGTAGTATTCAACTTATCTCATTCCACTTCAGAGGGTCACAAAGAGTTTCTTTTAAATGAAACAATTACACAGTGAACTGGTGATACCTGTCTGGAAATTCTTTTCAAACACAGCAGAACTTTAGAAATGTTCCCCCACAGACTTTTATGTGTCCTTGAGAAGACCTATTGAATTAGAAAAGTGCTGGTTCCACCCACAGACACCTCCAGCAGCCAAGGTTTGCCTTCAGAAGATTATGTCCCTTTGGAAGGGAACACAAACTTGACCTCATATTGCAACCTGACCCACCACCACTGGCATCTGAAGCTAAGTGTGCATTTTAATGAAGGCTATAAAACAAGACACAGCCAGTCCTTATTAGAAAATTGCATCATGACCTGGCAGTGAGCCATAACCTGCCAAAGCTTTGATAGAATGTCTGATCCTTGAGAGACACCATCTAAGGGGCCCTTAAGTAGCTTTTCATTTAGATTTGATTAATCACTCCCTCCTTTGTTGTTTGCACACCCATTCCAGCTAAGTGTTTATGTGCATCTTCTCCCTAGACCTGCCCTGTTCAACATGGTAGCTACTAGCCACTGTGGCTATTTATAATAAAATTAATTAAAATTCAGTAAATAGTTAAAATTTAGCTCCTTACCTGCATTAATCACATTTTAAGTGCTCGATAGCCACATGTGACTGGTGACTACTGGGTTGAACAACACAGAGAACATTTCCACCTTATAGAAAGTTCCATAGGACAGCATTACCTTAGACAGCTGTTTGGAGCCAGGGCAGGGACTTGGTAATCTCCATAGCAATGCTAAATACAGACCTGGCAGCAAAGAAGCATCTCTATAGGTCTGTTCATTTGCATTACCCAAACTCTGGCTCCATTCAGGGGCAGGATCTCTGATCTGTTTCTAGGAATTCACAGTACACAGTGCCTGATAATAATTTGTGACAAATCCATATATCTGCATAGGAACGTGTCTGCTGCCTACTGCTGGATGAAAAACTGCAAAGATTTCAGAGACAAAGTCAGGATTCAAGCAGGGAGATTGGTGCCTCTCAAGTGACCAGTGACATCCATCCACCTGCTTTCTAAGAATGGATTCTATTCTACCTTCTCCCTTTATATATGCAAGCAATTTTCATTCAGTTCTTTTGGAAGAGGGCCCAGTATAAATCCTAAATGAATATATATTCACCTGAACTGCTTCAGTTTTCAAGATTTTAAAATCTTGATCCTTTTCCAAGGATATGAATAAGGAAGAATACCAGGGACATCTTAGTCTGGTAAATCACAGATGTGTCATCTCAGATTTTCCATTTGTTTGCTTTACTAGTGGTTCCATAAATACTCACACTATATTTAAGTGTGCCCAGGAAAGCCATGATACTACTCACCTGTTTGTCATCTGGGCTAGCATCTGTGTCTAAACAATTCCAAGGGCATGAAGCTACTTATTAAAAAGGAAACAGACTTGTCAATAGGGAGAATACCAACCAATGCAAAGAAAGCCCATTACAAGAGAGATCAGATTCAAAACCAGACCTGAGGGATAAAATCATGACCCAGAAAAATACAATTGTGGCACAAACCTCTTGATCATTTGGTTTCAAAGAATAAGACTAACATTGGCCTCTATTAGCAGATGAAGCCTTGGCAGAGGGATAAGGGACATAGATTAACATAACCTGAAATACGCCATGTAATAAAGATGTTCCACCATGATGGAATAAAGCCCTCGCCTTGTGCGGCTACTTGTAAATCGTGATGCC